CCGCAAGGTCGTCTCACGACGAGCTCACTCGCACTTCGAAGTTTCAGGTCCGACGGCGCGGCGTCAGAAGTCCCTTTCGCTGGCGCCCCTCTGGGAAACGCGTCAAGATGCTGCACCTCGGGGGCGTTGGGTTCGAACCGGCTTCATAGGGGCAGGGACCTGGTCCAGAAACAACCTGGGCCGGGCGCGGATCTCACGAACACCTTGTATGAGGGAGTGTTTTTTGTTTTTCGCCGCGGCGGGCCCCCCGACCCCCCTGGGGCGCCAGGGGGAGCGGGGCAGGGCGGGTGGCAACTCGGGGGTGACCTGTGTGGGCCCCCTTTAGGGTTAAGTCGGGCCTGTCCCTCTACGTGAGGAAAAGTCAAACAAACAATAGTCTGGGGACTATTTTTCATATTGTTTGACAATTTTAGGGGCATGTTTTGGCTATCTCTTATTTTTCGTCCAAAATTCCCCTGTAGGAGGACAGGCCCGACTCAACTTTAGGGCCCTTTTCTCCACCCCCTATTTGGGTCACCCCCCACTGCCACGTCACCCCCCATTGCCACCCGCCATCGCAGGAATTTCCCGTAGCGAGCGCGAGGAAGTTGGTGTTGCATCCAGGGGGCCAGGGGGCGGAAGCGAAGCATGATTAGCACAGCTTGCAGGGGGAGCACCGTTGCAGCGAGAAGCTTTCCTTAGCGTGCCGCGGCAACGGCCCCTGCGACACGCTACGACTGGCAAGCTGATGGCGCGTGCCTCCGTTCCGCGGGGCGGGAGGCTGGGAAACGTGTCGAACGTTGACGTGCTTGGCGTGTCGCGCCGAGACGTGCTGGCAGAACCGGCGGCGCGACACGCTGATCAGATGCTCCTGACCGTGAGGAAACCGTGCTGCGGAGGAGGAGCAGGAGGGGGAGGGAGGAGCGCTGGGCCTGCACAACACAGATGAAGCGCCGCACACTGCGCTGAGCCCGCCACGGTCGGCGAAGCGCGGCCTGCCCAGCCGACACCGCCCCGACCGCGGCTCGGGTGTTTCCCAATATTGCGGGCGATAAGTGGGGCGTGGGGGGGGGATCCAGCCTCCTCCTCCCCCTCCTCCTCCTCCTCCTCCTCCTCCTCCCCATCCTCCCCCTCCTCCTCCTCCAGGGTTGCGTGAACGGGTCCATGAAGGGGCCCCCCGAGGGTGCGCGGAAAGCGCACCGTTCTTCACCCCCCCCGTTATATGTTGCCCCCCCCCCCGCTGAGCAGCGCCCGAGTGGCGTGAGGGACAAAGGGGCCCAGACTCCCGCACGCGAGCCTTGGGCCTCACCAGACCACCTCCCGCGTCAGGGCGCAGGCGACCAGGGCTGGCCCCGACCGGGGGCAGCCGATCCCCTCCATCCCCCTCCGGCTGACCTGGGTCTGCGAAGCATGTGAGGCGTTCCAGAGCGGGCCTCGCCTTCGAGAGATCGAGAAGTTGATATCTCTTCCTCGGCGGAAGGCTGGCGGAAGTAAAGCAGCGGCGGTTTTGCCAGCGGAAGCCAGCGAAATTAAAACGATCGCTTCCGGAACGCGCCATGTCTCGGGAGGGAAATTCGGGGCGTTCAAGGAGCGCGTCAGGGGGTCCTGAAGGCCGCCCCCGGGAGTCCCGCCATCCCGTGGCAGATTTTGCGTTGCCGGGCATGGGCCAGGCGTGGGCTGGTGCAAAATATGTTGCGCAGTAGATGGTGTGCATTCTGTGGGATGAAGTATATGCGTCACCAGCTATACGGTGCAAGCTACGAGGGGCAAGATGGAACTGGCACTGGCAGCAGTAGTAGTGGTAGTAGTAGTAGTAGTAGCAGCAGCAGCAGTAGTAGTAGTTTTAGTAGTTTTAGTAGTACTAGTAGTAGTAGTAGTAGTAGTAGTAGTAGTAGTAGTAGTAGTAGTCGTCGTAGTAGTCGTAGTAGTCGTAGTAGTAGTAGTAGTAGTAGTAGTTGTAGTAGTAGTAGTAGTAGTAGTAGTAGGCGTAGTAGTAGTAGTAGTAGTAGTAGGTAGTAGTAGGTAGTAGTAGTAGTAGTAGTAGTAGTAGTAGTAGTAGTAGTAGTAGTAGTAGTAGTACTCATAGCAGTAGTAGTAGTAGTAGTAGCAGCAGTAGTAGTAGTAGTAATAATAGTAGCAGTAGTAGTAGTAGTGGTAGTAGTAGTAGCAGTGATAAGAGGAGTAGTAGACGTCCCAGTAGTAGCAGCAGCACTAGCAGTAGTAGTAGGAATCTTAGTGGGAATGGTAGTGATAGTAGTAGTGGAATGATTAGTAGTAGTAGTAGTAGTAGTAGTAGTAGTAGTAGTAGTAGTACTAGTAGTAGTAGTAGTAGTAGTAGTAGTAGTAGTGTAGTAGTAGTAGTAGTAGTAGTAGTGATAGTAGCGGTAGTAGTAGTAGTAGTAGTAGTAGTAGTAGTAGGAGCAGTAGTAGTAGCAGCAGTAGTAGTAGCATCGTAGTAGTAGTCGTCGTCGTCGTCGTAGTAGTAGTAGTAGTAGTAGTCGTAGCAGGAATAGTAGTCGTCGTAGTAGTAGTAGTAGTAGTAGTAGTAATCGTAGTCGTAGTCGTAGTAGTAGTAGTAGTAGTAGTAGTAGTCGTAGTAGTAGTAGTAGTAGTAGTAGTAGGAGCGGTAGTATTTGCAGTAGTGGTTCGAGGTTTTCAAACGATCTTCATGTGGGATAAGCAGTGGTTCTCTTGTCGACATCAAGGATCTAGCTTCCATGTCAGATAGCCGACCTATAGTACCGTAAGTGGAACAGGGAGTCCAGCAGTCATTTTCGTGTGGTTGCATGTGGTAGCCAAATGCGCACCTGGTTGTACTAGGGATGTCTGTGGTGATCCGTCCGGCTTATATTGAAAGGAAAATGAAGTAAGTCGAAGGTTTTGACGACATCCACCGTAATTAACCCAGCATCGTGGCCTTGGGGGCGCGGACCCGTTGACATTCACGAATGTTCGTAGCCCTGGGAGCGCGGATCCCATGTAATTTCCGATGCATCATGGCCATTGGGAGGCGGATCCTTCGTAATTGAATAGGGGTCGTGGCATTGCGAGCGCGGGCCTATTTAATTTACCAAAGGT